CAAATCTCCACATTTGAAAAGGAAGCGCGAAAGATCTAATGTGTGCAAAGTGTTAGGAACAAAGCTGAAGCCAGATGTGATGGATAATTTCTTTAAATTATATTTGTTTTGTAAAACTAAGCTTTCATTTAATATTCAATTTTATTCCTTTATTTAATCACTAAAAAAAATGTTTAGCATCGATGTTTCATCGATGATTTTTTTAAAAATAAACTAGTGATGGCTGAGTGGGACCAGATGAGCACAAGCATTGTACCACCAAAAATGGCCGCGGGGCAACGGATGGCAATGCCATCGAATTTTACAACCAGGCACGCGCTGCACAGAACAACAAAGGCCAACGTAGAACGTTTTTAATTTATTAATTTATATAGGTAATAATAACTTATTAGCAAATCAATTATGTGTACCGGCTCGCCAGTTGTGCCCGCTGCCACATTGGAGGAGATCGAGGCTGAATATGGGAGCAACCTCAAGCTCCTCGAGTGCAATTCCCAGGTGGCAGAGCTTCTGACCATTCTGCGCGACAAGTAGGTGGCTCCTAAAAGTGGGTCAGTCATCGGGAATGTATAAAATTCTCTCCCCAGAAACACCACCCGCAGCGACTTCAAGTTCTATGCCGACCGACTGATCCGACTGGTCATAGAGGAGTCCCTTAACCAACTTCCATACACTCACTGCGACGTAGAGACCCCCACTGGAGCTATATACGAGGGCTTAAAGTATCGCTCTGGGAACTGCGGAGTGTCTATCATACGATCCGGAGAGGCCATGGAGCAGGGTCTACGGGATTGCTGTCGCTCCATTCGCATAGGCAAGATCCTGGTAGAGTCTGATGCAAATACCCACGAAGCTCGAGTGGTCTATGCCCGTTTTCCTGATGACATTGGCAGTAGGCAGGTGCTCCTGATGTACCCAATCATGTCCACTGGAAACACTGTTCTCCAGGCGGTGAATGTCCTTCGGGAACATGGAGTCCCCGAGAGCTGCATCATCCTGTCCAATCTGTTTTGCACTCCCATGGCCGCTCGGACCGTGGTGAACGCCTTTCCCAAGCTGAAGATCCTCACCTCAGAGCTGCATCCCGTGGCCCCCAACCACTTTGGGCAGAAATACTTTGGTACAGACTAGAGATTTGGGACTGTCATGCAGACTTGACGACTAAACGACTGTTTAGGATAGGTAGCTTTTTCCCAAACGAGCGCTTGCCTTTTTCGCCTCACTAACCAGTGCTCCTTTCTCTCTCTCTCTCTGTTCGTCCCCCAGGTGGCATTTGAAACGACAAAACGGTGACGCCCTGCGGTCTACCAAACTACTTCTTAGCAACTGTAAGCTTTTCACAACTGGCTTTTAATGCAACTCTCAAATTCGTTACGTTCGTTACGCACTATTGTAAATATAGAAATGAAATAAATATTTAAAACGATTGAATAGGGCGCGATTGGCAGCTAGGAGGTCATCTTGTAGTTGACCACGGTGTCCACCTTGTGGAGTCCTGTGGAGAAGGAGCGCAGCTGGACGGCCTGGGAATTCTGGATGATGATGGCTCCGGTTTCGTCCCACTTGGCAGGTAGTTCTGTGTTTTGCAAGGTATGGATCATCACGTCAAAAGTGCAGATGCAGTCGAGCAGTGGAAGATAACTGACGGTGGCAGATATTTGGCGCATGACATCACGAATCTCGTTCTGAATGCGACTTAGCTCCTTGGTGGCCGTAAGCTTGGTGGGATCACTAGTGTCACCGTCTCCCATTTCGGCCTGCATCTTAAAGTCCCAGCACTCGAGAACCTCTTTGGTGTGGGCATTGGTGATGACCATGGAAATCTTGTTAATCATGTTCTTGGAGAGCCATTCTAAGGGATTCAGGGTGCGGTTATTAAGAAGCTCAGTGTTTCCCTGAGATTACCTTACCTTCCGTTTGGCTGAGTACGTTCTGCAAAAAGGTCTGGATCTTGGGATCCTTGGACATCAGGATGGTAAGTCCATATTGTTGGGTGTTGTCGAAGTCTTCGGCAGGGTAAATTCCGCGTTGAAACAGTATAGAGTTGATGCCATACTCTGTTTAGAAAAAAAAACAAAGGAGACGCGGTTGAAGGCGGGCTTCTGACGCTTTCTTAGGCACGGTGCTTTACTTACTTAGATATTCCACAATTATCTGAGCGGATCCCTTCAAGGTGATGCAGTTCTTGGTTGCCTGAGCCGTGGACATGTTGAATATAGTGGATTTTTATAATAATTTTAATAACAATTTTCAGAAATTGCCGCTAATTTTGAAGTCCAAGTTAACAAATGTGACCAAAGTAACTTATACAAAATATCCCCTTTATACAATTTTTCACTAGGTGTGCAGGTTACACTCGCTAACTGTGGAGGGTGTACTAGCTAAATGTGCTTGATGTGATCGCTAATACCCGCTTCCCACAGCCGCTTTGCATTGCAACTGCGAAAGTAAAGTGAAAGAAGTAGAACAACAACAGATTACTTATAAGTTTAACAAGAACACATCTTTATATGGGCAATGTTCAACAAAGTGTTTAAAAATGCATTGTACCGCCTTTAAAAGAACAAGTAGCGGTTGCGGAACTTGTTCGCTGTTGCAGAAGCATCCTCTGTGTGAACAGCTCTTAAGTGAGAAGATCTGCAAACTAGAGTTGCCAGATCGAAATTTAACCGTAACCAGGGCTGACAAGTACGGACCAGTGCTGTCTAGCAATCGGTTATGTGGCGGCAAGTTTGAATTACCACGTAGACCTATAAAGAAACATAAACTTCTTTCCAATAATTAAAAAACACCCAAACTCTTGGTTGCAAACAAATTCATAATTTTATTGGCCATCCTCGGGTAAACTAAAACTAAGCATGAGATCCATTTCTCCTCGCAAAGGCGATTCCGCGTGGTTCGGCTAAACAAGATCCCTCCGGTTCATCGTAAGCTGAATGGGCCGCCTGTTAAAAGACCAAAACGAGACTTTGATTTAGCCAAAACAATCGAGGACCCAGTAAATCTATGTGATCCAAAACCTGGCTCGGTTCGTCAGAGCTTTGGTGGCTGCCCTCTGATTTGTTGTTTGTGTGGGAAAAATAGCAGCACAAGCAGATGGAAAATAGGGAAAACCTTGAGTCAAATCAAAACCAATCATAAACGAAGAAGAAGAAGCCACAGAAGAACAAGAAAAGAAAATCAGACCAAATCAAAAAGCAATCGATTTTTGTAAAATGTGAATTATTTGCAAGTTTTTAATTAAATTTTTTTCTTACGCATCGTTTTGTTTGTTTTTGTTTTTTTTTTCGTTTTTGTTTGTTTAATGCTTTGTTTTAAATTAAAATTAAACTTTACATGGTATTTTTGGTATAAATCTTTCAATAATTAAATATATAAAAAATTTGCCACTTAAAATAATTAAAAATAATCTCTACGCACTTTCTTGCCTTTACGTCTAGCCATACAAACTGATGTCAACATACACATTGCGAAAAAATAACTAATTTGCCATTTTACATATTTCGGTGTTAAAATTACGCAAATCAAAAACGAGGACAAATAAAATAGTATTTCGAAATTAAGTAGCTTTATAGTGTTTGTGTGTGTGGGGTGTTTCTGTGTGTGTGTGTGTGAGCTTAAAGCTAGAGTTACGTTTAATTTAGGTGTAATTAAATACAATAAATTATGGTTAAAGAAGGGCTTGCATTAACTTAGTTGAAATGTACACAAAACTTATCGTTAGTTAAAACGAGAGCTATTTACAGGATTTATTACAAAGTTCTCGGCTACGTCAACCTTTGTTCTCATTTTAAAAGTATTGTCTATGATACAACAACAAAAGCGCAACAGTGTCAGAGTCAGGGTCGAATCGGTAATGCTTTCCTCTCGAACTTTGAACTACAAACTTCGATCTTCGATTTGATCTTTCGTACAATAAATAAATTAAATTTCTGTTCAGATTTCATACATCAGATTTATACATTTAAAATATTCTGTCACCGTGCACAAAAACAAACGTAGCTAAAGTCAGTCTGGATCTGGAACTTTTCGCTCGGGAAGAAGAAGGAACTCTGGGCTGGGGGAATCGTACGAATTTTGAAATGTTTTCGGTTTCGGATATGTTTTCTTTGTAGTTGCAAACTTTGAGAACGGTGATGGGTTTTTGGGCTTGGTCTGCTGGTGCAACAAATTCTCTAATTTTTTAAAAACGTAAAAAATTACAATTGTCGACGTTTTGGAGTGCAGGGAGTTCGGTTTTTTTTGTTTTTCGTTTTGTTTATAAAATCATAAAAATAATGAAACAAAATTCTATGCATTAATAGTCGTTATTTAAGGTATGTATTTGGCCGTAGATTGCAACAAAATATCTGTGAAGAGATTAAATTATAAATAAAATTAAAAATTAATCTTTCAGTTCTTCATTTACTGTTAACTAAAAGCTGGCTAACAACCATTTCCACAAATAGGGGCAACTACAAGCATCAAATTGCGCTATCGAAGGAAAGAATTCCATGCAGAGGATATTGAAGAGAAGGTTTTTTTTAGCAAGAACAGCTTGGAAATAAGTTTGTTTTTCTTTTTTGGATCATTCGAGCTCACACAAGATCTCTCTTTGCCGTGGAATTTTTTTTTAAGAGGAGGCGAGCACAAACTAAGGAAGTAATAGTGAACAGAGTTACCCAAATCGGAAACGCAAGAGATTAGTCAAAAGAAAAAATACAAAAAAAACAATCACCAAATAAAAGTAAACAAGGAGCAGAATGAAGTTGTTGGTTTGTTTGATTTGAATTGGGGGTTTCCGGTGTTTTTTTTTTGGTTTGTCAAAATCTACAGCCAATGGTTAATTTCTAATAACGAGTAATAACTAAAATTAATTGCAAATCATTAAGTATTATGGGTTATTGAATGTGGTTTGTTTTTAATATTTGCAAACTACAAAAAATTACATTGAAAACAAAACAAAATTCAGTTCCCGTTTCGATTGTTTAGTCAGTACATTGCCTTTTGTGGGTGAGTGGTTTTTTTTTTGGCGAACTTGCCATCGTTTATGCGTGTGGATATTCGTGTATCTAACTTAAGAGAGCCTCTGTTGATTGTTATCGTAAATCTGGATATTCATGTTGTGTTGTGGGGGTGAGTAAATGTGGGCTGAGCCAAAGGATTCGACAAGTTTCTCGGTACTTTGTGGGTAAAATGTCCGGTTGTCCGGTTGTCCGTCCGCCAGTTCTCTTGTCCGTCCGTCCAAGTTGCTTGATAATTTTGTTTTGTTTTGCTGTTTTTTTACATTTACTTGTGGTTTTGGTTGGTGTGTGGTTTGTGTGATGAGTGAGTTGAAATTAAATTAAGTTCCTATTTAAACACTATTTAAAATAAACCTTCTATAGCACCCTTTGTTTTTATTCGTATTTATTTGATTTTTCTCGTTTTTAATGATTGCTCTTAATATGGTTTTTAGTTTACAAAATAATAAATATTATGAACAACTTGGTTAGTTATTTATTTTGTTTACTCTTTGTTTTCGTTATTAAGACTTTACTTTGTTTCTTTTTGGAATGTGTTCTCTAATAAAACTTTTAGTTCGTCGTTTTCAAAGTGACTGATAGTAGGGGGTGTGGTGTGTGTGTGTGGAGTGTGTGATTGGGTGTCTGGAGGATAGATTTGGGTCCGATTCTGCATACTGTATTTGTACTTTCTGTCTATGTGATTGGGTGTGGCTGTGTCGCTTTATCATTTATCAACTATATTTGGTTTATTTCACTTTCTCTGTTTTCAGCTGTACTGCAGAAAGTTTTCATGTGGAAGGATAGCAATGGGAATTTCGTTGTTTTTGCTTTGCTCTATTTTAGTTTGTAGTACTGTTGTGTTATTTTATTTTACTTTACTTTATTGTATATTATGTTATTCATTATTTTGGTATGGGCACTGAGTTCGGTTTGCTTGATTTGATTCGGTTTCGGTTTTGTGCATAACTCGCGTTTGACTCGACGTAAAACAATCGATGCTATAGAAGTGCCTATTTTAGCAGTAATAACCTCCATGATAATTTTTGCATGGTTCGGGAGGATTACTATTGCTGTACCTACTGTCGGGCATACTGTTCTCGCAACGTTCGCCGAAGAATTCGGTTGGGCACCTGAAAAGACAGAAAAGAATGGGTGGAGAGCGTCCAATTAGTACAGATCGTGCTTTATATTCAATATTCTCATTTATTATAATATACATATATAAGGTATACACAAGGAGGGGAAATCGAAATGGCCATGAACTGCGGTGCAGCATTTGCTTGACCACTCGCAGATCCGGTCAAATATAAACAAAAGAACAAACAAATTAAGTGTGTGGCATGAAGCGATTTTTAGCAAAGGGAAAGTGGCTGGGAAAGCCAGTTTATGGGATCGAAATGGAAATTGATTTTCCCTCTCGCTCCTTCGACGCCTCCTCAAAAAACCAAAAGGGGGAAAAATACGAGATCATCGCAAGGGTAGCGAGTGAAATGCGCTTTTTTGGGATCCGATTGGATCGAATCGAATCGGTTTGCGTGTGCACACTCGTACCGCCAGATAAAACGAGGCGCTGAAAGACATTATTCACATTGCATACACACACACACGCCTGCAAGTGGGCCTTTGTGGAGTTCTCTCCTCCGGCCACGAAATTTGTGGCCTTTTAATTGCGCTCCCTCTCCGGATTTCTCGGTTCCCGAGCGTGTAATGCGATGCCAAAATATTACAAGATATATATATTTAGATGGGGTCGGCGGTGGAGTCTTATCAGCTGTCACATGAGAGAGGTTTATCAAGCGAACCACTTGAGTTTTGGGATCGGTTTCGAGGAGTCTAGCTGGCATTTGTGGCAGGATGCATCGAGTGCACAGCGAAAAACTAGCCATTCCAGTTAATTGAGTTACTTTTTCTTTTATGACATGTAAATTACATTATGTTGGGATGGATATCTTCAGGGATTTAGGAGTCTATTTAAAAAAAATTGGTCAATCCAATTTGAAAATTGTATATTTTTGATACATATGACAGCTAAATATATAAAAAATTCTGTAGTACAAAAAAAAGGGTTTTTGCATCTTATAAAGAGATTCGAAATATATAAGAATGTCTTTATTCGAGTTAAAAAATTCCGAAACTCTTCCTTATACTTGTAATGTTTTCGAAGCGGTTGGGAATAGGCTCATGATATTGAACCCTATAACATCTTAAGGTAGTAAAATAATAGTTACCTGCAGAAGACCGCGTTCAGATCTGCGATCATCATACAGGTGCCGCCATGGAAGCAGAATTCGAAGTGACAGGGGGTGCCCGAGCTGCGCGACTGGTCCAACGGAAAGAGAACTGAAATACAGACGAAATAATTTGATTTACAAAACTGTCGTCGTACATTCCAATATAGTTTTAAATAAATATAATGTGTACGTGCGACCATAAATTATAAATGAATTGGAGCATTCCGAATTGGCCCGCAACATAACATCGGCATAGAGATGAGATGGTTGCAACACCCACGGATCTCTGGTAGGAAAAGGCCAAAAGACTCACCTGCCGAGGCCTTGATCATGATGCGGCGCTTGACGATCGCCTTGCTGGCCTTATTCTTGGCCCGGCACTCGTACTTGCCCGCATCGGAGGAACTATTGAAGGAGCGCACGATCAGCTCGGAACGTCTTCTGCAAGGGGTATTCCAATAAAACAGGATCTTAGTTATATACTTTAACCAAAGACCCCCCCCATTCGTACTCACTTGTGATGCTTGAATTGGTAAACGTTGCGCTTGCGATTGATGGACTTGTCGTCCTTGAACCAGGTGACCTTCGGGGGCGGCTGGCCCGACACCTTGCAGACGATCCTCAGTTCCCGGCCATGCTCGATGGTGGTATTATTCGGCACCGAGGTGATCGACGTGATCGATGCGTTCTGTGCTGTAAGAAAGACCAGGCAAATTATTAGGCCATGCATTTCACTTTCCGGTGATTTCACCGATTTTCCCCCTTTCAATCGATCGAAAAATCAAACAAATTTTCGCTAAGGAGATAATTGCGGAATTTTCCACCTGCCTTTGTGGACTTTAGATGATTCTCCAGACAGCCGTAAACAAAATAGCAAATTAGAAATTATTCGCATTCTTAGAGAATTTTCTCTTGCGTTTTTATGATCGTCGCGTTTGTTTGGTCTTGTTAGTTCTTAAGTTGCCAGGAGATCGTTAAAAATTTTCATTTATCTAACACTTTTTGAAGGTAAACAGATTTATGGGCGGAAAATGGGTGCAGTTGCGATGACAAAGCAATTATTTTTGAATATAATCGGGAAGAAATTCAAATTAAAATGATGTCTATAACTTAAACAACTTAACGATTTCCTACCTTTTGATCAATGAAAGTTATACAATCACTTAATGTGGCGCCAATACGGACTGATTAAATTGAACGTCTTATCTTAGCGATACCACCTTCCTATGAACATACTTTTACAACCTTTATCAATAGATTTGCGCCCACCAGCGTCTTTCATTTATTTCTTTATAAGTTACCCAATTACATATTTAAGAGTCACAACAGACTGACTCATCAATGCCGACTAATTGGCAATGAAACTTGTGTCGCCTCTTGCGAATGGCGATTTGCCACGCCCACTCCCCCGCCGGCGAATGCTTAAAATTAGCCGCCATATCACGTGTCTGGTGGGCGGGGGCGGGTTCCGTGGGGCCTGGGGGCGGGACTGGTCGGTCTAAGTGCTCGTCACATGCTAATTGAGACCTGCGTGCGCTGTCGATGTGATTCACCAGTGGTGATCATGATCATTCATCGATCGGTGGGTCTATTTCGGTTCTTCGACCGGCGGTGGGTGGCAGGAAGAATGGGAAAAGTGCACATCCACAAACACCCTCGATCGTTATGCAATTGGCAGGGAATACGATTATATATGTACCATACATATCTGTCCGTTGGGGAGGGGGGCAGTTCCAAGCAGTCTACAAAGTCTGCGCTGATTTAATGCCCGGCAAATGTTAATTTATGCGATGAGGATCGCGTGGCCAGACGAAGCTGTCCATATGGATATACGTATATTGTACATATAATGTGATTTTCAATTCGAAAATGTACACTGTGCGAAAGCAAGCAAAGATTATAAATATAAAAATAAAAAACATTTTAGCACGATTAAAAATGTTAGAACCAAAAACTTTCTTTTACGAAATATATACCCTTTTTTGCACATTTAAAAGATCTAAATTTAGTTGTTTCTACCTTTACTCTGGCTGTCACATCGTTTTAGTCATTTTGTTGGTTTCCAGTGTAAATATTTATATAGGTGTATTTATTCTATACAATTTTGAGTATATTTAAAGATAAATTATTGTTTATAATTTATGTTTGGCCCAGCGTCGGGCCATAAAGCAGCATTTTAATTGTGCGCGCCACTTTCTCACGCTCCCAAATTGTGAGCCGTCCCTGTGTGCGTGCGTATCTGTGTGTGTGTGTGCGAGTGTATCTGTGTGTGCGGGCTTAGTATCTGTGTGGAAGAGATCCGAAACGTCAACTCACAAGTGTCCACAAGGCACACAAGGCGATTAAGAATTGAAGGCACCGGCACCGGCACCCAGCACACGCAAAACAAGTTGACAATTGTCATGGACAGCTCCTACTTCAACTTCATACATTGCCCCTCAGCGGTTCCCGCTTTGATTTAACCAGAAATCCCAGCCAGAATAATAAGATGAACATTTTTATTTGCCTTTTGCGTGTGTTCGGTTCGGTTCAGCCAAAAATTGGCATATCATATTGCCCAATCCCCCCTCCCCCGCTCTTATTATGACTTAATTATGCGCTTAAAAATGTGTGCTTTTGTTCGGGACATTGGTCTTTTTGGTTGCACAGAAAAAAAAAGCTGTTTAATTTGTGAAATCAATCAAATCAAGTTTGCTTTATTAGTTAAAGTAATGACTCCAATCACAACAGCTTGCCTAATAAGCCCACTTAAAGTAAACGATGTTGGTATTTAAATAAATGCATTTATCTATTTAATATATTACTCTATTCATTTTTAATTTTTTGGAAATTGGATTTGGTATGAATTTGTGGTTTATGGTTAATAAGTTATTTAAATTAAAAAAAATATAGTTTTTCCATTTTGTGCCTAACTAATAGGTTCACAATTTTATTTACATTTTCTTACTGTGCGGAATTCGATTTCCCTGATAACCATTTGATTTGCCAATGTCAATTGGTTTGCGGCAGTAGGATAAAGGAGTCTAACTGAAATCCGATATCTTCCAGCCAAACTGGGCTCATTGGCCTTTCCATTTGGCCCTGTTGTCGTGCGTTTGCCGAGTGCGTCAACAACTTTGGGCCAGTGCCTGCGTCAAAAAGGCTGATGTCGCGACGCGCTTCCGGAAAAGTCTGGCAGAAGTACAAGTGCCACTATGGAGAGGAAGCGCTGCCAAGGAAAACGGAGAAAATCGGAGGAGGAAAACTGTCGTCGTTGTCGCCTCGTTGCTTGCTCCCCAATTTAGCACACAGACAGCACAGCGACAGGGAGCATTAAAATAACTTTTCATATTTCAAATAATCTCTTTTTCTCTTTTATTTTTTTGCATTTCATTTCGGGGCCGACGCGCTTTTCCTCTCGAGCGTGACGCTGCCGCCAATGATTCATGCAAATCCATCAAGAAAAGCGGTTAGCATCACGGGGGAAAAGTGGAAAACATGTGGTTATAGCTCAGGTCGTCGGTCGCTTTGCATTGAATTAATCAGCGGAATTGCATGCGACACGCCGACTGGCGCCATCTGCCGGGTCAATTGGCTATAAATATATATTCATGCAATATTCACTCCATTCATTAAACAGACTGCAATTTACATAGTCATTACCACTGCGATCATTGTTCGCCCGTGGGTTTATCCCAACTTGTGCAATGTGAACTGCACTTTTCGCTTATTATTTTTTTTCCTCACATATAGATGTGTTATTTGTATAATCTTCCAATATCTTCGAGTGCGAGTGGGAACGAAAGAGACAATTTATTTTGGCAGCCCGGCGAGTGACCCACATTTGCCAAGATGCCGAGATGCTGAGATGCTGCCGCTGTCAGCGGAAGTTTTTCCAAAAAAACAAAATAAAATTCATATAAATTTTCCTCCTTACCCCAAACGCGGTTATTTATGATTTCTCGGATGCGTTCGAGTGTTATTTATTTGATTATTTTTGATTCATTTTTATTGGCTCGCGACATTGTGTCACTGCTGGATTCTCTTGCGTAGAGACTTCGTCCCCGACGTCAGTGATTTATCGGGCCATAAACAAATACTACGAGTGCCCCGGCCACTCGTATCATATGTATCACTCACTATCTTATTTGTCTGGATAAAACTTAACAATTGTAGCACGCGTCGCATTCGGGGGCGCGGAGTGACACTTCAATTCACTTCGGTTAACGCACTGATAATATTTGCATGATAAGTGGGCTCCATATAAGTTGGCCGGCGTGTCAATAGTGCCAGCGGGCATTGCGCATACGCCGTGTTGGCCTAGGCAATGGCAAACAATTGCTCACCACGCTAATTGTCATTAAAGTGCACTGCGATTGGTCGTTATCAGTGGGGTAATCATTCGACAACAGGTTGTTCACTTTCATATCACGCTCAGTGGTTAATAACACTATTTAAATTGAGGTACTACACAGGGCTTCCGGCTTCCACGAAATGTGATATATCACAAAGATAGTCAAATCGTTATAAAAAGTTTGATATATGTATATTTAAACTTAAACATCCTATCACCTATGAATAAGAAACATTTAAAAGCTTTTTTGAAGACATTCCAATACGAAATTCGATATACCAGCACATGAGTCCAAGTCAACCATCAGTTCCAATAGCCAAGCAAACATTTTCCGATTCATTTCGAATAAAACAGCAACAAACAGTCGAATGATGTCGTTTCTTTTTGCAAAAACACAAGACAGGAAAGCCAAAGAATATCTAAGCAGTGCGAAAAGATTTTCGCGAGTTGTGAGTTGGCCAAAAGGCAGATGGATGGCAATGGGATTGGGTCTACAAAGATGGGAGGTGGCTGAATGGATGGCTGGCACGTGTGGCCAAAATGCTGGCAGAACTAATAAAACTAGGAAAATAGCAGCTACGTTGTCGCCATTTGGTCGATGTCGATTTTTCCATGTTTGTTTGCGATTTTCGTCTCGATTCTTTTTTTTCGCGCTGTCTACTATGCTTGTTTATTTGCACATTGCGTATACGCAATGTGATTTCCTTTGAAGCCCTGACTTACCACGTTTTTTAGTCGCTGGCGCTGACAACTCAAGCAAATAGAGAGACAGCAGCAAAAACAAGCAACATTTTGTGGGTTGTGTAAAAATAAAAGAAAAAGAAAATGGAAAAGGGGGGGCGAAAATCTTCAACAGCAACAAACAGAGGAAACTGCTGGGATCCAGTCTAAAGCGCAATTTTCATCATCAAGCGGAATAAGAAGTGTAATCTCGTCGAGATAAGCGATAAGCAGCAGATCTTCTATATCCCACAAGCCCCTTTCGGGCGATCTGAACTTCCCCTTTCACATGTATTTTTACCCGCTGTCTGCAGCGTTTAATTAAGTCAAGTGAGCGAAGATCGCTGGCCCCATGCATCGCCATCGGCATCAATTGTCTTTGCCTCGGTTTCAGCCGCTAAATGCCAACAAATTCGCTTCACTTTGCCGCTGATCTATATGCTCGGTTCTATTCTGTCTACCTCTTTTATAGCGCATTTGTTTTGTTTATTCGGCTGGCTTTTCTTTGTTTGCCGCTGCTCTATTTTCTTTCCCCAGTATTCGTTTTGGTTTCTGTGCGCCCAGCTGTTGGGCCAAACCAGATCTGCCATCGCCCACCTTTTGGCCACATCTCACCATATCTTTCTTATCACCGAGCCGT